ATTACTCAGGCAGGTATCGAGGTGGATCCTTCTAAGGTTTCAGCCGTTCAAAATTGGTCAGCACCGAGGAGTCCGACTGAGGTTCGCAGTTTTCTCGGTCTAGCTGACTACTATCGCAGGTTCATCGAGGGCTTTTCCAAGATTGCCCTCCCTTTATCCCAGCTGACGAGGAAGTCTGTGAAGTTCGAGTGGACTGGCAGATGTGAGTCGAGCTTTCAGGAGCTCAAGAGGAGATTAACTTCAGCACCGGTGTTGACTATTCCCGATCCTTCTTGGAGTTTTACCATTTTCAGTGATGCTTCCAAGCAGGGACTGGGATGTGTACTCATGCAGGACGGCCAGGTCGTTGCCTATGCTTCACGTCAGCTCAAGCCGCACGAACAGAACTATCCGACGCACGACTTAGATTTAGCCGCAGTTGTCCATGCCCTCAAGATTTGGCGACACTATCTTTATGGAGGTCGTTGCGAGATTTTCACAGATCATAAGAGCCTGCAGTACATCTTCACACAGAATGAGCTTAACATGAGACAGCACCATTGGCTCGAGCTCGTCAAGGATTACGATTGCTCGATTCAGTATCATCCGGGAAAGGCGAACGTCGTTGCTGACGCTCTAAGCCGAAAGATGAGGGGTGACTTGACGTACGTCATTACTCAGCAAAGTCTGTTGATTCAGGAGTTCGCCCGGATGCAGATTCAATTGGTCGATGCACTTCCCACAGCCATTACGGGGAGTATTAGTGCCAGTATTAATGCCATGCAGCTTCAGCCGACACTGAGAGAGAGAATCCAGCGGGAGTAGGCTTCTGACGAGTTCGTTTGAGTCATGGAGGCCAAAGTCCATGCCGGAGGCGTCGAGGGTTTTCAGCTAGGTGCCGACGGTGCCATAGAGTTCAGAGGCAGAATCGTGGTCCCAAAAGTCGAGGCGTTGCGGAAGGAGATATTGTTGGAGGCTCATACCGCACCCTATCTAGCCCATCCCGGGAGCACGAAGATGTATCATGACCTGAAAGGGTCGTTCTGGTGGTGCAGAATGAAGAAGGACGTCGCTGAGTTCGTCAGGAGATGTTTTACCTGTCAGCAAGTCAAAGCCGAACATCAGAGTCCGATCGGCCTCCTGCAACCACTGCCGATTCCGAGGTGGAAGTGGGAGGAAGTCACGATGGATTTCGATACGGGATTACCGAGGTCGTCTGAACACCACGATGCTATCTGGGTCGTGGTCGACAGATTGACTAAAGTCACTCATTTCTTACCCGTTTCGATGAAGATGTCTTTGGATAAGTTGGCTGAGATATACACCCGTGGGATCATTCGACTCCACGGAGTGCCCGTTACTATCATATCAGACAGAGATCCCAGATTCGTCAGTAGATTCTGGCACAGTTTATACTAAGCGATGGGCACGAAGCTAGAGTTCAGTTCAGCCTACAATCCGGAGACAGATGGTCAGTCCGAGCAGACCATTCAGACGCTTGAGGATATGCTTCGCGCTTTGGATGTTGACAGGGGTGCTAAGTTGGAGTCGTTGTTGCCGTACGCCGAGTTCGCGTACAACAACAGCTATCGTTCTTCTATTCAGATGGCTCCTTACGAGGCACTTTACGGTCGCAAGTGTCGTTCCCCTCTTTATTGGGACGACATCGGGGAGCAACGAGTACTCGGTCCGAAGATGATCGAGGAGACGGCAGAGCAGGTCGAGTTGATCCGGTAGAGACTCAAGACAGCTCAGAGTCGACAAAAATCTTCAGCCGATCATCATCGACGAGATATTCAGTTCGAGGTTGGCGAGCCAGCTTTTCTTAGAGTTCGTCCTATTCGCGGAGTTGTTCGATTCGGGAAGAGAGGGAAGCTGCACCCTCGATTCATTGGCCCGTTCGAAGTTCTCGAGCGAGTAGGCGAAGTCGCGTACTGATTAGCCTTACCTCCCGAGCTATACGGCATTCATAATGTCTTTCACGCATCTATATTGCGTAAGTACGTGTGCGACCCCGATCATGTTATTCCTCATACCGATATTCAGGTTCAGCCAGACTTATCGTACGAGGAGCGACTGGTAGCTGTACTGGACCGTCAGGTTCGTCGGCTCCGGAAGCGAGATGTTCCCCTCGTGCGTATTCAGTGGGATCGCCACGGAGCTACTTGGGAGGCAGAGGCCGATATTCGAGCTCGTTTTCCAGATTTTCAGTTTTGATGTACATATTTTCATGTCCTATGTACATATTTCATGTATATTCACTTATGTTTTGAATTTCCAAGGACGAAAATTTTTAAGGAGTGAGGACTGTAATATCCCGTCATTTTATTAATATAAATCATGTTTTAGTTCCGATATAATCACGTTGTCGATTATTATTTTCGAAATTAATTATTTTCAGTCGAAATTACCAAAATTATTTTCGACGTTCCGTTTACGTTCAGAATAATTTTGGTAATTAAGCATTATGTTTAATTAAATAATTAAAAATAATGAAGTGATTAATTAGCAACTAATCACATTCAAAGCTTAAAGGCCGTACGCAATTTTCCCAAAATTAAGTACAAAGCCGTAAGCAATTTTTTTTTGTTCAAGCCATGCATTATGTCATGCAATTAAGCATGAGGTGGCAAGTTTTATGGGTGATTAGCCATCCATAAGTATCTATCTAATCTCCAAGTGTTAAGCAATAGTTAAGCCACCAAATCAAGACATCATTCCAAATTCTTGCTCCCTTTCGGTTCTAGTATAAATAGGGTACTTGGGATGAAATTTCTCCTCACGTTTCAACACTATATTTCTTCTCCAAATATATTAAGT